AACCCCGAAATGAGCAGGGCGTGGTTGGCTAACAATAAATCAAATCACAATGCATAAGACAATTTGGCAAAAAATGGCACGCTGAAATTCTGTTGCGCTTTCTTCATTGCTCGCCGATCAGATTGATCCAAATACCATCGTTTTTCTGCATATCGGGTGACACCACCAATTAGATGACCTGCAATCCGTGCGATAAAACAAGAACCCTTTCCCATTATGATCGTTCGACATAATTCGTTCCACTCCTTTACGGTGACAGTGCCAAAAAATTTCGAAGGGGAACTCAATTCAGTATCGCATTTATACAATGGGCACTGGATGTATTACAAGGAGATGCAGCAGTAAATTATTCCCAAACAATGGGCCAAAATGAAGGAGCTTGAGTTTTTCCCAAACAATTGCCTAAAATTGGGGAGCTATGCTGGCCTTTGCCTACTTCGTCTTTGATCGTATTGAAAATTAATAAATATAAATTTACATCGTATAGACCCTTATAAGCTGTTTCATGTGACTTGCACTGCCACGCGATTGATTGTGTGTGTTTTGCTTACAGGTACACGACCACACCAATTCAAGTAGTTTATGTAGTGCAACCTCAAACTTGGGTAATTAAACTAGTAAACAAGTAAACAACATCAACAATGGTTAGAAAAGGTACTACTAAACCCCCCAAAACAAAGGAAGAAAACCCGAATGCCCAGGAGGTCCTGGGTGGCCTTTTATACCGTCGGGCCGCCGCCGTTCCCGCCAGATCTTGCCGGAGGTCGCTCTGCGGTTGGTCAAAAGTCGTGTCATCCACGACACTCCCGGCCACCCCATTTGCTGCAACCTTCCATTTCCTGCCATTCGCGGAGAGCATCTTGTAGACGTAATTCCATCTGCCTCTTAGCGTCGGGAACTGGACAAAGGGCTTTGTGGTGCCCGTCATCTTCTGGAATTAAATCTTCAAATGGTGTATTGAAAACTCTGGCACAATAAAAACACTCCTTCTGCTCGCCGCTCGACATGCGCTGTCAGCTACAGCAGAAGCGGCATAATAATTTGTTCGTCGCGCGATCGTTTCCTGTGGGTTACGTCTCTCAAAAAGGACGAACTTATCTTCCCTAGCCAGGTCTTGGATTACTTGCCGTGCAAACCACTTACTCGTCCTCATCCGTCACATGGATGGCGATCATGTGAGTGGAAGACAGCGTTCGATTCGACAGCGGGTTACCATCTTCGGCCGTTATCAGAACATGGTGTATTCGCTGACTGAAAGGAACAGCATGGAAAAGTTTGATAAGGAAAACACTCAATTTGCCATAGTTTGACTTTCTGGATTATTCTAACAAATTGTAACAAATGCAATATGTAACAAAAAAAGCTTCGAATTATTAGCACTCAAAATCGATACCTATTTTGAAGTATACGCTCTGACAGAGTACTAGGAGCTCAAGAAGAAGATTGCTGTTTTACCTACCTCTCGAAATCGAGCGCTTTTGCCAGTCGTAACGTCGTGGAGCACTCCTTGCCATTGCACCTGGCCTTGTCAACGGTGAACAAGTCGTTCTGGAATCAGTGAAAAATATTTCTTTCAAAGTATTATCCCCATAGCTGCTGCCTTATATTCTTACATGGCCTATCCGAGAATCCCTTAGGGTTTGAGGTTTGCAATGACAGAGGTATATGTTAAGCATGGGGATATAGATACGAGAATCCAAAACGCCGTACAAGCCCGGCGCAAAAATCCAGAGGATTTTTCGATCTCAGGATTCTCAAAATGAACAACAGAGGAGGATTCGTGGTAGTGCCCAACGAAGCTTCTTCGTTCTTTGGCCTATATGGAATTAGATTGTCATTTACTCAGGTCAAGGGTCCTTACGCTCCTGGAACTGAGTGGGTGCCATAATTTTGAGGATTAAAAACGAATCGAAGGTTTCTTCTTATCCAGAGATTCTTTCTAGAATCCTCTAGTCAAAGTGAACCGTCATAAGAAGTTAGAGGGCCTTACATGTACGGGTGGATAGGGGTTGGGGAGGTTCACTATTCGCATTTGACTTCAGCTTCTTTTTAGGATCTGACAAAAGCGACAAGTTCTAAAGGGTCGCTTAATGAAACTACCACATACAGAAATGATCAAAAATATTCGCTAGAATGCTTTTTGGCGCAATTTTTTCCACCTTAGTCAAATCGCTTTAGATATCTGCACACCTTGTGTAATTTACGAGTTCGAATGATTTGAAAAGGGTTTTC